CAATACTGCGGGACAGTGTAGTTTTTTGGTTTTGGTTTTTTACTATGGGTGTTTGGTCTCTTCCGACCCTCCATGATGTTTCGTCAATGAAGGCTGTCACACAGCTGAAGGTGGAACCGGCAGTGGCAGCACCTGATTGACCCGTGTGCTGGCCTCACTCCCTGCATTCCATTTAGGAATGATGTAATTCAGCGTGACAACATAATACCCGACCTGTTTATCCCCAGGCCTCTCCTCATAGCTGCCTTAAGAATGGGGAAGGTGTTTAACCTGCATAGCTTTGGTGGTATCTGCAAAATGCATGGCCATAAATAGGCCATATCTTTACTGGAAGCATGAGGCTGTATCTGGGTGGCATTCCCTGTACTGACCGGACAGCTGCCTTGAAGAGATTGCCCAGCCATGGTGGTACCTGGGCAAATGCAATCCACTCAGGTCAGGATGGAAAGGGCCAGTGTTAGAGGCAGGCCATGCCGTCGGCAATGCTAGAGAGGGGCCTGCTTTTTGTTCTGCTTTGCCAAGCACCGAACACTTTGCATCGCGGAGGCCGCAAAGCTGTGTTTTGCTCACTGGCTGGTTGAAAACACAGGTGGCAGGGAAACCGAGAGAAGGGAGTTCTCCTGGCCTCTGGGATCCCTGAGCTTCCTGGGGACACCTTTTTGAAAGCTATAGACGGAGCCAGTCTCTGCACATCGGAACCTGACCCTAGATCCGGTGCCTGACAATAATGGCTACTTCCGGATCATGAAGGACAAGACGCACCTCTCCAAGCTGGGCATTGGTAAGGAGCTGCCCAATAGCCCCAGGGCTGCAGCAGTCCCCAAGTGTGTCGCTCTCCCCTTCCCAGCAGGAGAATGGGACTAGAAGGTGCATCTGCATAATCATGAAACCGCCAGCCCTGCCTGCCCCCCAAGCCTCCACCGGCTGCTGAATTTAGGGATCACCCCAAAAGACAGCTCCATGGCATGCAGAGCATGGGAGGTCCCTGAATTCTGCACCCCATCCTCCTGTGCAGCAGAACTTCACCAGCTCCACCACATGTTGGATCTTTTGCACCCAGGAGAGGAGGGGGCAAGATTTGCTCCCATTTTGAATAACACCAGCAATGCTGGAGGTAGCCCACGCTTTTTGAGATGGTAATACAGTACAGCCTTCATTCCCATATCCTTCTGCAAATTCACGTGCTCCTCCCATCTCTCCCAGCTGCTAACCAAACCACTTCCTCCCATCCCTGTAGGACAGGGCACCAATAAAACTGGAGTTGCTCAGCAGCAGAGAACAAACAAGCCCTTTATGAAAGGCAGCCTAGCTCTGTGGTTGGATTATGCCGCCACTTAGGAGACCTGCATTCTATTTCCAACTCTGCCACTGGACTTTCCACGTGACTGTGTGTGCAAGTCATTTTCCCCTCCATTCCTTCTCTGTAAAATGGCAATAGTAATGCTTCCTTTACCTGTCTTGTCTTTGTAGATTGTAAATTCTTTGGGACAGGGACTGTCACTTATTATATGTATGTACAGCACCTTGCACAACAGGGCCTTGATCTCAGTCAGAGCCTCTAATCACTATTGTTATGTTCCTGGCATAAAAACAGAAATTAGATAAAAAACATAAAATTCCTCTTGCGGGGAGGTTGCAACATAATGCGACTTTTGTTCTTAGAATTCTGAACGATAGCACACAAGAACCAAACACCAGCGGGAGACAAAGCAGGCTGCTCCCTAAACCAGAGAGGCACAACTCACCCCCACTGTACTGTAGATTGGCTTTCTGCTGCTAGCCTCAGATCACATGCTTCCCTACAGAGCCCCTTAGCCTGCAAGCAGGACCAGGAAACCGTTCTTAAATTGAAAGTGATAGATCACAGTTTTCACACAGTTTTCAATAGGCCACAGCTATTGTAACATAAATTATAAATAATAATATTAATGTGACAGATTCTCCTCACATGCTGGCGTAACTCCATTGTCTTCAGTGGATTTGCTCCCGGTTTACATCAGTGACAGTGAACTTGTAATCAGGTCTGTGGTAAAGTAAACAGGACTCCACACCCATGGGAGTTGCACTAGGTAAAATTAAGTCAATGACTTATAAGTTAAGACCGATGTGTTAATAACAAGAGTTTTGGATATACCAGTTGTGCATTCTCTCTCCTTGCCCACAGCAATCAGCGCAGAAGAAAGTGCCTACTGCAGCTATAAACCTGTTTTTGATTAACACTGCTGTCCTAAGACCCTCCTTCCCCTTCGGTTGTTTGTCAGAGTCCATCCAGACCACTGGGTGGTTTCTCTATAATTTCAGTGTGGCCCAAACAGTCTAAATAAGACCCCTGGCTTTCCAAACCACAAGGCCTCTATTAAATTAAGGGTTAAAAGGCAATTCCAGGCACGTCTATCAATTTTATGGTGACTGTTCTGTCCTTGATGTTTTCCTATGTGACAAGCTCTTGGCCCAGTTTCAGATTGTCATATGGACTCTGAGTCAGTCCTTCAGTGGGACTTAAAGTTAAGCATGTGTGCTTACATGCTTTGTTGAATTGGGGCCTTCAGAAACTACCTGGTGCAGCTGAACTGGTTTTGAAGTATAAAGAGATAAAGGCTTCCAAGTTTCATTTTTTATTTACAGTTTTAGATGTGTTAAAAAAGTAAAACACTCCAAAGCAAATAGCAAAATTTTGCATGACTCTTGCATTCACCGGGGGTTCTGTCCATTATTATTATTATTTGCAATGTCTCTTTTGAATTCTGGGTTGAGAGGAGAAGCTGCTCTGTTTGATGACTAGAAATGAAAGTCCTGCCCCCTTAGGTGAGGGAGAAGTCACAATGCAAACTACAACTGAGTGAGGGGGAAAATGAATAAACAGGGATGGCGGTACAGGTCATAGGGTCAAAATAAAGGCATCAGAAGTGGGGGGAGGAGGGAAGGTGCTGGATTGATAATCTTAGAGCGTGGAGTCTTCTCTCTATCCACAGAGCCGGGCAAGGTTCCCCACACACACCACCCACCAGTGTGCCCCAACTCTGACCTGGTGGAAATGGCTCTAGGAGTGAGGCTCTGGCTGTATTACAGTGCATGGAACTGGAGAAAGAGGGTCAGATTACAGGAGGAACCTAGTTTGGTGTGACACCAGGGGCTCATATATACAATCTGATGTCAGGCTACTATCATAGATATAGAGGGCTGCAAGGGACCTTGAGAAGTCATCAAGTCCAGGCTCCAGACCTCTGTGCTGAGACAGGACCAAATATACCTAGACCATCCCTGACAGGTGTTTGTCTAACAAAGCTCCAGTGATGGAGATTCCACGAACTCCCTTGGCAGCCTATTCCAGTGCGTGACTATCTTTATAGTTAGAAAGTTTTTCTTTTAACGTAACTCTCTCTTGCTGCAGATTAAGCCAATTGCTTGTTGAACTACCTATCAGACAAACACTGGCCTCTAGGCATGCTCAATAAAGATCTCCCTCTTACAACTCTGCCTGCACCACTGCATCACTTACTGCTAACGAAACACCAATGCTTGGCTTCTCAACTGCTACACTGGACAAGGTGGCCTATTGTGGTGATAGAGTTCTTTTGCAATATGGATTCATCTACTATGAACTAGACTGAGACCCACTAGTACATTTCACACGGGATAATCAATAGCTGTAAGATGGTAACAATGTTCAGGCGCCAACGTACTTCACTTTAAGCATTTGTGTGAGTCCCATTGACTTCACATGGTGTGAGCACATGGGTTAAGTGCTTTGCTGAATTGGGATGAACTGAAGCATGTGTCTACAAGTTTTTGCTGGATTCAAACTTATGACCTAGAGGTGAAAGGATTCAAACTAGACCTTGACTTAGAACTTACGAACAATCAGACATGTGCTTATTTCAACCGGACTTTTTAAAGTTAAGCACCTACATAAATTCTTGCAGAACTGGGGCTCTTCTGAGATAATCTTGTGGTGAAAGACTTCATCTTCCAATGCCAATACTTTGATGAGAAAAGATCGAAAAACATTCACGTAATAATATTTACTTGCATGCACAAAGCTCTTTTTACCTGAGGATTTCAAATCATTTTATGAGCATCATTTCAGCTTCACAAGGCCCTCCTGTGAGGTAGGTAGGGATGAGTAAGCATTATTATGAGAGAGGATTAAAAATGTTTGCGTTCTGCTCTTTTGATGACAAACAAGAAAAAACAGAAATGTGTTCTCGTTTTTCAGTCAATCCTCTTGTCGGTTAACAGTTTCCAATATTATACTTTGGATAACGTTCCACATTTTAACAAGAATGTGTGTGTGTGAGGGAATCTATAAAATCTTCCCACCTCTCATTCGGCTAACTTTAATTATCACCGTTTTGTAGAAGGGGAAACTACAGACAGAAGTGTTAAATGATTTGCTAATGGTCACAGAACAAGTGAGTGGCAAAACTGGAAACAGAACTGAAGAGGCCTGAATCCCTGAACCATTTCCATCCCACATAATATTTAGGTTTTTTATATTTACATTAAATAAACTCTCTCATACTGGCTGTTTGCCTGAAGTGCAGGCAGGTATTAAGCCCGTACAATTATTGTTAGGTAATTGCCTGTAATATTACACACGTAACAATAATAATGCATACAAAATCAGTTTAAACGATTTAAGGTCATGACACCACCCAAGCCAAACCAACAATCTTTCTAGGTTATAAAGTGCATGTTGTTTATGCATAAATCTGTCACAATCCTGCCTAATTACCTTGCAGAATATAGTTTTCTCTTCAGGAAGCTTTGATACCATTGAAATGTTACACATCGCTGAGAATGATGGATTTGGGGTTGGTATGTGGAGAGACAAATATTTTGCAGCCCACTTGGAAAGCAGGATTATAACCCGTACGGAGAAGATTTAGTTTCAACTGCAGTGGCAGCTAATGACCTTTTTGACAGGTGAGGCACAGATCACAAAATAGTTATTTCCACCTCCACCTGATGCATAATTTAATAGCTATTTATAATCTTACCTTATTTATAGCGAAAAAACAGCAGAAAAATCCAGGAGCTGGAGGCATGTGCTACCCCCCCCATCCCCTCCCGCCTCCCCCCCCTCCAGCTCCCCACTGCTACCCAGGCTGGAGCACGAGACAGGTTCAGCAATGACTCCTCACACACGTGTCTGGGGCCCACGCCCTGGGGAAGGGGCCAGGCAGGCACAGGGGCTAAACCCCATCCCTGTCCCCTACACCGCAGGCTTAACAGCTACAATCCTGCTGTGGTCTCACCAAGCCGTGGTTACCACAGCAACACCCTTATAAAGTGACTCCTGGGTGTGGCAAGTTGCCATGGTAACAAGGCCACTTCTTGAGGCACTATTCGCCATACCAGGAGCTGAACCTCACGCAGCACCATTTTCTGGTGTTGCGTTTTGCTCCTGGAGAGAGGGAGCCGTGATACTGGAAGCAAATCACAATTTGTCCTCCAATCCAGATATATTTATCAATTCAATAAATAAGAACGTATGTCGCTTCGGGCACTTCTTGGTTAAGTTGTGCCTCACTTGCCCGTGCTCATGTGCCTCCCCGTTCAGTTCCCAGGCTGCTACAAACCCCCTGTATGACCTGAGGCAATCCCTCACTCAGCTCTTCGGTTCACCCTCCAACTCTACACGGGGGGTAGTAATAACTCATTTGCCTGCCTTTGAGGCAAGGCCCGTCTGTTTGCAGGTAGACCTTAATTAGCTCACTCCGTGCAGACCCTTGAGTGTCCACACCTACAGTTAGGTTCAGCCCTACTGGGGCTAAGTCCTGAGAGCAAGGAACATAGCAAAACCCAGAAGATCTATCTTAACTGTACGAGAAGTAAACAAAAGCCAATAAACTCCACTGGAACAAAAGAACCACTGAGATTCTAATCATACCTCCCCGCTGGCCCCTGGCTTCAGAAGCTGATGGCTGGTACTTGGTCCTTGATTAGTGAAAGGTGGTCGGAGGGTATGAATGCACGAGGTGCCATTGTGGTGCCTTTGTGGACAGGATAGCCAAGCTGATGAGATACGTGGTCCCCCCTCCGTAAATGTTTAGTCTGTAGGTGGTCTGAAGCCGAGGCCGCCCTGGAATGAATGGGCTGTTTGTTCCTGAGGTAAAAAAATGAAATGAAAGAGTGCAGAGAGGAGAAAGAGAGCATGCTGTGATTCTCCAGGAAGGATAAAGATATCCTATGAAGCGCTGTGGGAATCAGAGGCCCTGGGGACCCTGAAATGCCGGTTGCTCATAGCCAGGGATAGAGGGAGCCATCCATAGGGCTCGCTGACTAACTTGGAGCCAGTCACCGCTACAGTTGACAAGGAAATGGCACCGAGCTGGGGACAAAATCTGTTTTGGGCTGAGAATGGAGGACAAGATCTTTGCTCCCCAGAGCCCAAGGATCCCCCCTCGTTGATGCAGAAATTCATTGCTCTCCGAAGAGCCTTTTGATGTGAAGCAGTGACCCCTGCAGCTCCAGACTCACCCTGTTCTACTTCATCCAATACAGCCGTCAGTAAACACGAACAAGTGTCTCCGCAGTCAGACATCTGACTTGTAAGTGAGGGCAGCTATGGGCACCAGCAAGGGCGTCACCAGCACAGCACAATATACAACAGGAGCAAAGAAAATTCCTCTGGTACCCATGGAAATAACTGCGTTGGTGGCACCTCCGAGGAGATCTACCATGCAATGGCTTCCAATGTATGGAACGTCTCCAAGGCAGAGATGCATGGAGAGTTGTGAGGAGTCTGCTCTAAAGGGTGAGTGGCCAAGACTTGGTAAAACTTCCATCAGTCTGCGTAAAAAAGAGATGAGCCAAAACACTTCTGATGAGCCAGCTACCCAACCGTTGCCTGTTCCCCCAACCAAATTAAGGGTATGTCTATGCTGTAATCACAGGGTATGAGCACAGCTTGAGCAGACACTCTCGAGCTAACTTTAATCTAGCAAGTTTGGGATCTGGAGCCGGCTAATTGCGCCACAGATTCAGCCGGTGAGGCGCTGGGGCCAGCGGCTGCAGTGGGGATGGCTCCACAGGGATTGAGGGTGCATACGGTGGGGAAAAGTTCCGGATGTGCCCCACCATTCTGCACACCCCCTTCAGGATGGGAAACTATCACTGTGTAGTATAGGGCCATCGCAATGCATTGTGAGATGCCTTTCCGGGAATTGTGAAGGTTGGATCTGGCTATGGTGCCTTCCGCCATAACAGGCTTCAGTGGCTTCTGGCATTTTCGCCATTGTGCCAGGGTGACAGTAGAACACCCACTGGAGCAGCTGAAACAATGGTATCAGCAGTGGGATCGTTTGGCTTCCGTTCCTAGTGTAGACACAGCCAGTATTGTCAGGTCGAACAGAGAACTGGGTGCCTCCTTAGAGATAAATTCCCCAAGGGCTCAATCCGGAGGTCACTGGTTTGTTTTTATTAACCCTCTGCCTCCCACGTTCACTTTAGTTCCTTGTTTCTTCCTTAAAAATAAAAAAGGCGCTGAAATGCTAGTGGCATTTGTGTCAGGGAAATGCTTGCAAGGGAAGCAGATGTGGGGGTGGGAAGCCAAGATGAAAGAAGGTAAAATTTCCTCTAATGACCTTCCCCTGGAATGGAACCTTCCCTCAGAGGACTTTTTTTTTATTTTTATACTGGTCTGAATTGGGGCAGTTGTGCTGCTGGGTTTGATTCTTCTGTTTATAACCCAGAGCCTGGCAGATAAACAGGCTGATAAGACACTGGGAAGGAGGGAAACCTCATCCGCAAACTCATTACACAACGTTTTAAAAGTCGCGGGGGACGCGGGCAGGGGAACTCCTTGGTTTGTAACATTTTCCGTCAGGTTCGGAGTGAGGCCCTGGGAAATATCCCCCAGAGCATCGCTTGCGAGGGATTGTATGACCCGGGGGACTATGGTATGGAAACTGTTACAGCCGCCGCACTGAGTTGTCAACCACCAATGCACCCGCCTGGGGACTGATTTTCGTTTACACTCAGGCCTATCTGCTGGCACTCGTTCCCGGTTGGGAGGCCATTGACTTTAAAGCAGTGACTTCTTACACTGGGGAGCCGGCGTAAGAACAGCCTCAGTGCCCATTGCTTGCTGGAGAGTTTCTAAGTGGTGGGACGTGGGTCTCGGGGAAGGAGGGGAGGGTCACGAGGCCTTGAGAATTTGATTACAAGCAAAAGGAAAGAAAATCTCACTCCCCCCACAGCCTTGCCCTTCAAGGTCAAATGTCCCCTGTCAACCTCTCAAAACACCCCCCACACACTACATTATACAAGGTTAGGATGGAAACATTATTTTACTGAATAAGGGGTCACCAATGTGAAAAGGTCAAGGACCATTGGGCTAGGGGATCTGAGGAGTCCCTAGCACTGCCATAAAAGAGGGCGAGACCCACTGTGGGTCCTTTGAGGCTTGAACCAACACACACACACACACACACACACAGAGTAACACTTTCCCTCCGAGGCTCTCAGAGCACTTTGCAAACACAAACAAACTCAGCCTCGCGATCCCACTGGGAGGCGGGTCGGTGTCATTATGTCCCGTCGGACAGGTGCAGAAACGGAGGCACTGAACGGAAAGGAAACTTTGCACAAGGGCAGTGGCGACAGCAAGCGCGAGGCAATGGAGAATCAGGCCCCTTCGGTCGAAGTGCATGTAAATGGCTTAAAAACATGGAACAGGGGAACGGCAGGCAGCAGAAAATTGGGTCCTTTTCCTGAGGGGTCCCTGATGTGCTGCTCAGTTAGTTTAAGGATGCCTAGATTCCATGGTGATGGTGCATAACACGTGTGTTGATAATCACCCATAAAGCGTAGCCAAGGCCCTGAGCTTCTGCCTGTTTGATACTTAGGATCTTAAAGGTGATGGGGGAGGAGCCGAGCTTGCTCTTGACCCCTCTTTTGCTTTGTTTTATGAGGGAAAAGGGTTTGAGGGTTTTTTTGGTAGCGATAAGAAAGAAAAAGTCCCACTTGCTTTTTACATTAGTCTTTGTTATTACATCAGTGCATCGAGGCCTCCAGCTGTGCTCATTGTCATGGGCACTGTATGTACAGAGTGAGACAGCCCCTGACCTGAACAGCCTAGTGTCTAAATAGACCAGACAAGGAGTGTTAACATCCCCCTTGGGCAGCTGGGAAACTGAGGCACAGAGCAAGCGACTGAGTAACTTGCCCAAGGTCACACAGGGAATCTGTGGCAGAGCCCAGAATTGAACCCAAATCTCATAGGCCCATCTCTACAAGGACAAGCGGGTCTCTCTGTATCTGGTCTCATAATCCCTGCTGCTGATGAAGGACTCTGGGGGGGATTTGGGAAACTAGCGGGACATTGCATCACAAGAGACAAGTCAGTGAAAGTGATCCTGGGATGAGTTTTTACAGTTAGATTGTTTAAAACTCTGTGGGCCAGATTCTCATTGACACTAGTGTTAAGGGGCCTTAAAGTGAGAGTAAATGACTTATCTGTCTACTTTATGGCCACTTTACACTCCCAGAGTGGTGTAAAAGGCACTTAATGTAACTACCTGGAGTCCTGCTCTAGTCCTCCAAGGAGACCTCCAGCAAAATCAAGCAACACAAAACTCAAGAGCCCTGATGTTTCTAAGGTTTAAAAAAATAAAAAGGCAGAAACAAACCCCTTCACCTTTAAAATTAAAATTCCATAAGCTTCACCCTTCCAGGCCTTTGTTTTATATATCATAAAGAAAAAAAGTCCATTACTACAATTCCCCTTCCCAGGCATTGAATCACCACTATAAATCTTCAATTTTATATCTCACCTTCAAAGCATCCTCTAACACCAGTAACCAGAGGATTTGCTCAGAGGAGACAGCACCACCTACTGGATCACCATGTCCTCACACTTTCCCAGGAGGTCTCCTGTCCAAGCACTGCCCTAAGCACATCCCTACTGAGCTGATCCCAGCTGCTGCTGTTGCAGCACGAGGTGATATAACTGAAGAGACTAACGTGCCTTGGGTGTTTTTACAGAGAGACAGGGGAAAAAAAATCAAAGGCAAGCTGGGAAAGGGTTAACAAACAGATCAGTGCTTGTAACCAGGCACCCTGGCTGAGCCCCAGAGCTCTTGTGTTGGTACCTAGGCGCCTACCTCTGTCTCTGGGGTGGAGTCATTCTAACCACAGGGCAGCCTCACCTGCATTCCAACAACGTGAGTGACAGCTGTGTGAGTAGTTTTTTGGGCCCAGTCCTTGGCAAGATAAAAGATGCCTCCTGCCGGGCCAAGTC